CACTCCGCAAAGGGTCGGCCCTGAAAACATGTCTCTGGGGCCACCCGCTAACAACTTCATTTGTCTCTGTTAAGACCCGTCCTGGCTCAGCATCCAAGACTCCGGACGAACTCCTTTCCCTGTTCCCGGGTAATCCTGGTCGGATGGGGAGTGGGAGTGGGAGTGGGAGTGGCGAATCAGAGCAAACCACACGCTGTGTTGTGCTTATCTTGACAGCAAACATTTACAAAAAGAAAACAGCGAGTGGGGAGCACGTCTTTATCGCAGCCGAACAAGGCATTTCCAATTTTCCTTTCGGGTTGCGATCTGGCTTTTAAATACTCCGGAGGTAGATTAATCATCCCACTCCCACTTGCACTCCCGATTACCTGCTCGCTTCGCAAGCAACTTCCTCCAAATCCAATTATAATTGCGCTTATCAAAATAAGTTTTCGATACTTGTTGGCCTGACTGACTCCTGGCGAAGAAAGAGCTCAAGGGGAGCGGGGCAGAAAGACGGTGTCTCTGCCAATTTCACCAATATGGCAATTTAATCCACACAATCAGTTTAAGGCATCGCCATTTATCTTGCCAGCAGCGGAGGGTGCTTCTCTGACTGCTTGTATTAGTTTTCCCCCCCGACCTGCGGTTACCAATTGGGGATTTCTTTCCTCCGCATCGCTGTCAATTACCTCAAGTTTAATTGAAGGTGAAATTGTGTCAGAGCACAAGAGCAAAAGTTGATGTGGTCAGCCGTTCCGGGGTACGATTTTGGCCCAAAAGTTATTCCAATGAAAAATGATATCTCTTGTGATGTGTGGATGGTGGGGTGGATTAGTGAAGGAGATAGTGGGTAGTTTGAAGGTAGTGTGAAATTATTTGATTTGCTTTTATTTGGCAGCGCATTGTTGGCTAAGAAATTAAAGTTCCCCCGCAATTCCGAATGAAATAGAGGATCTCCTTGCTGTTCACTTTCGGTTGGAAAGCCCCGCTTTTCTATCGGAGGAGTAAAACTTGATGATATCCCTAAGAAATAGTCAGTATGTGTGAAATTGGCGGCACGACAACACAAATTAATAATTGATTTTTTCTTTGTTATTGGCTAAATGTAAAAGTACATGGCAATAAAAGACGTTATTGTTGTTTTGGGTATTGTTGCTGTGGCAACAATGAGCGTCAGATTGTTCATCCTTATTTCAGTTTTTAGCATCCGAGTAATTAGCTTCATTAAAATAACTATATAGTTATTTTCTTTAATTCTGTATTATAAAAACCGCCTTTAATATCCGGTCTGAAGGTATAATGTCGCAAATTTTAAAAATAAAACAATTTAATATGAAGAGTATAAGGTCTAACAAGAGGTCGCCTGAGTCGTTGGACCTAATAAATATATTTAGTTTTAAGCCGCATATGAAAGGTTTTGGTTGTTAATGTTCAAAGAGAAAGAACTTAATTGATCTCATTGCATTGCTAGTCACCTAATCCAGCCAAACTTTAAAGAAAACAGTCCAATTCGAGTTTTATAAAATATATTATCTAGTTATTAAATATTCTGAGATCAAGTATGAAGCTTTAATTTTACCTAGTTTCTTGACATTTGCTTGACAGGCTATCAAAATTGTGACACAGCGCAGGTGACTAACTAATCCAGCCAAACTTTAAAGAAAACAGTCCAATTCGAGTTTTATAAAATATATTATCTAGTTATTAAATATTCTGAGATCAAGTAAGATGCTTTAATTTTACCTAGTTTTATGACATTTGCTTGACAGGCTATCAAAATTGTGACACAGCGCAGGCAGATAAGCACAATTTTTACCAGCAGTGGAACCAATGCAGAGTCTCGCTTAATTACATCCGCTGTGGGGGCTGAGGAATGAATTCGGAGGGCGGGCGCCTCGCACTTTCAGTTTCATTTTGGGGAAATATAATAAATTCGCTCTTAAAATTCATTTCATTAAACACTCGCCATGAGCTACTACCCACCAACAGGACAAGGACAAAGGAGCGCCGCAGCAAGGAAGTCTTTTGTTTATACTCGAGTTCCGTTCCCCCAGCTTTCAGCCCCCAGCCCTCAACCCTCAGCTTTCAGCCAAACTCGGGCAAATTAAGCAAGCTGACAATTTTCTCTCTCTAAACTGTACAACAACTTAATGAGCCTGCATAACTTTGCGACAACAGCAGAAGGCGGCAGGGAAGGCAAGAGCTAAGGACTTTCCCCCAAATTTGGGAGGGCGGCAGATAAAAAAAGCACGTAAACTTGGCCGGAGGCGTCTCACTCGCAAACGGTGGCAAAAGTCATTATTCACTGTACTAGCGCGACTCCCAACCTCGTAGCGCCAGCTGAAAAATAATCAACTTTTGCACGACTGTCACCCCACCCCGTCCACCACTCCTCGGTGGCAAGTTCGGCGCAAAGTTTCATGCCCGGCGTGGAGACAACTTCCGTACTGCCTGCGGCCCAATGTTGCATATGGCGAATGGTGAATGGTGAATGGTGTTTGGTGAATGGTGTGTGGCGAATGGCGATGTCCTAGTCCCAGTCTGGCCAGGCTCCCCTTACAAATGACGCATTAATGAAGTGATTTTGCTTTGGTAGAATTTGACTTTTTAGATTTTTCCCATTCCAAGCTCCAAGATGCGGCCGTGACACGCTCAGTTTTTGTGAGCCAAAGCAAGCATTTTTATACCCTTGCAGAGGGTATTATAATTTCAGTCAGAAGTTTGCAACGCAGTGAAGGAGACATCTCCGACCCTATAAAGTATATATATTCTTGATCAGCATCACTAGGCGAGTCGATCTAGCCATGTCCGTCTGTCCGTCTGTCCGTCCGTTTATATGCAAACTAGTCTCTCAGTTTTAAAGCTATCTGCATGAAACTTTCCCAAAAGTTGTCTTTCTATTGCAGGTAGTATATAAGTCGGAACGAGCCGGATCGGACGACTATAGCATATAGCTCCCATAGGAACAATCGGAAAAATAAATGAAAAAAAATTATAACTTTTCTGTTTTTTAATTTTTTGTTTAGTTCTTCGACATTTAGTAATGGTTAAATATTTTCGATTTACGGTTTAAATTTCATCAAAGTCGGACGACTATATCATATAGCTCCCATAGGAACAATAAAAATATATAAAATAACTATCAAATAATTGAGCTGCAAATCATCATAGCTTCAATGTTTTTAAACTTATACGCAAGTAAATTATAATTTTAATGTTTTCAAAAATGTTTAATTCTTGCAATAGCTGCAAGGGTATATGAACTTCGGCTTGCCGAAGTTTGCTTTCTTTCTTGTTTACTAATAATGCTGAATAATAAATTATTTTTTTTCTAATTTATTTGTTTGTACTTCGTGTCACTATCCTGTTACCTCAAGAGAATCATATATATGATACACTAGTCACGAAATCCTTTTCTGCAAATCATTTTGAGTTTGTTTTGTATTAACTTTGCTTGTAAGTGAGCTAGTTGTTATTCCAGTTTACCCATTTTAATCAGTTTTAATAATTTCAAATTGCAGAAGCCTCACAAAATATATCAGCTTAAGTGCCACAACATTTAATTGTGCTTTTCCAGGACCCAATTGGCAGCCCAGTCTCGTGTCACGCTCCCATCTCGGCGCCCAGCACTCATTAACTTCCGCTTGAAGCTCGGTTGTTCTGGTCCGCGTCCCACTCCGTCCAACTTCCCGTTTGTTGCTTTATGCAAATGTTTTTCTTGTTATTATTGCCTGGCCGCGATTCCAGTCGACTGTTGTGTTTGCTGCTTTGGTTTTGCTTTTGGTTTTATAGGAAAACACGCAAAGCAAACAAAGTTGGCTCTGCTCAGTGTTTTCTTACATGAGAGTTTTCCCTTCGGTTTGTTTGTACATATTTTAATTACGCGTCTCTGATTGGGAAGCATTTGTGGCGGGAGCTCGACATTCAGCGACTCTGCGGCACAGCTGTCGCTATATAAAGGCAATTTTTCGTTCGGTTCCCCCAAGTGGTTGACATTTCGGGGATGCGGGTTCAAGGGCGGGTTGAAAGGGTGCGGAAGTGAGTGTTTGCTTTGTGGGCATCGCGTTTTTTTTTTGGATATTTGTTTTCTTGAGTGCGTCCAGCCAAAGTGATTTTTGCACGGAATTAGCACTGCAGGCTCCAAGGCGGCACAGTTGCTGCAAACAGGCTCATGGTTAAATTAGGCAGAGCTTTCCCATTCATATGTGGCAATAAAAATCAGCTCCGGCCAGCACTCACTCACAGCCAAGAAAAGAAATCCGGATGGCAGTCATATAAAGCGTGCCACAGTTTCGGATAGAGTCGCATATTTCGCCAACTGCCGGCGGATGAAGAGCCCGGCAACATGTTGACTTGACAGTCTGAAGTTTCCGGGCAATTGACACCCTTTTTCCAATCCAACAGGGCAACCCTCCACTCAATCTGGCTCTTCGCGCTACAAGGGTAATTTCAATAAATCGAGGGGCGCCACCCTCAGCACGGCAGAATATTACTTTTTGCATAACGCACAAAACTTGATTATATTTTCTCTTCTCTTTGGTTCGAATGGTGGCAGTATCCTTTGGCGGGGGTGGAGCAGAGTGCGCCAAAATCAAACGCCAATCAATAAATCGATGGGCGAAAGTCATCAGCATAAATTGTGCTGCCCAGACAATTAACAGTCGACCTGCAATCATCATTAACAATGGCCCATAATCCACTCAACGTCGGGCAAATTGCCTCGTTTTAAATTGTAAATATAAACTTTGATAGCATTAAACGTTATTAAGCCTGCAAATTTATTGTTGTGGTCGGTTGCGAACCCTTTGGATCCGATTTTGCCGCCTTCCCAGCCTGTGCCTTCGATAATTGTGTGCTTAATTAAATTTTCATGCAGGTGCCATAAATGATTTTCACCCCTGACGTCTAATTAGATTTACATTTTTACGACCTGTCTGCATTGACTCCTCGGTGAATCCTATTAATAGTCCTGCTCAAGGTCGTAAATACCTGCAAAGCACACGCAATGGGACAGTCAATTAGTCAAACACTTTATTCGTTTTCAACGGGAACACGGGAAACACAGGAACACGGGAAACTCGTCTAACGAGGTCCCTCCCAGGAATGCACCTTCCCGGGAGTGGGAAGCTTCTTCACGCCGGAGTCCTCTCTTTGATCGCAGTGCTCTGCATCGGCATCCTCGGATTCCGGAGGAGCAGCTCCCTCCTTCGAGATCTCTCCAGTCTTGGCCTGAGCATCTTTGGCCGCCTCTTTGGTTGCTTCTTTGGCCAGCGCTTGCTTGTGCTCCTGCACCAGATCGACGGCCGGCTTGACCAACCGCCGGGGATCTCTGGCGTAGTAGTAGTTGGCGATCAGGTTCTCCGAAGGACCCTGGGGAACCGCCGGGGGCGGCTGAGTCCGCGGGGAGACGGTGTCGGCAAAGCGCAGGGCCGTCTTGTGGGTGCGGCCCAGAAAGAAGTTGCGCAAGCGACTCAGGAACTCTGCCACGTCGCGGTGCTTGAGTTTCGGCTTGGGGGGCATCTCTGATTGGGTGTTGGGTGTTGAGTTGTCGGAAATTTAGACTCGAGTCCTAAGTGACTACTAAGTCAAGTGGCAGTAGATTGCTCGTGCACAGCAATCCCTTCCGCAGTTTCCACACGAATTGATGCGACGGTGTGGCGTCACCCCACAGCGGATGACTCAATTCAATAAGCGTCAATCTTTCCACGCGCTCGGCTGTCAATCAGATTTGGCATCGAAATCTGCCAGCGATGAGTTTCAATTATGGCCACAGAAAAGAAACAAAGCGGCTAAGGCGCCCCTGGCCAAAAATAGAAACATTCGCAGTATCATCGAAGACAGCGCAAAAAGTCGACATTGAAATTAATAAAAACACTTCAATTTCCGATGCCAATCAAGGCGGCGGTCCACCCCCATCCACCATGTGCCGCCAGTGTGACAGGAGCACGCGTCGGGCTTTACTGTACTTAGGGCGGTACAGCACGTCCGGCTGTCAGCCTGTCAGCCGGAGCGCCAGCACCCATGGCCGGATTTCAGCCTGCGAACATGAGCCGGAGTCCGATGTTAAGATGTTAATCATGGATACCGATCCGTGAGCTCAGTGAGCTCCGCTCGCATTGCATCAGATAAGCAGCTTGTCGAGATTTACGAAATCGAGCTGATTATATCCTTGTGCGACGAGGTCTCCATTGGACGCGTGTCAAAGGGTGGCCCGGTAGTTTGCGAACACTGCTGATGTGTTTACCTTTTGGCTTTTCAGGAAAGTCCCGGGAAGGGCAGGTTGAGGGGTTGAACCAACGAAAGGAGAGTCGTTGGCTATGGAAAATGCATAAATCAGATTGACTCCTCGCCCAATTTGATTACAATTTACGGCACACGCGGAAATCGCTCGCGATAAGCTCGGCCAGCTAAATATCAGGTTAACATTCGTTTGCGATGGGAAAAATCCGGAGAAATTGATTCAATGTGTGAGAAAGAAATGAATACAGTGTGGAAAGAATGGGCATTTCAATTTGCTGCGATTCAGATTTCGGGCAAAGGCTCTAGAATAATGCCCAGTCAATGTCGTTTAAAAGTACGCACTAGAATAAAATTTGAAAAACTAGGATAATCCAGGACGAAACGAATATTTTGTAAAATAAAATTTTATATTTTAAAGACAAAAGAGTAGGGTATTAACCTAACCAAATTTGTCATCCAGCGTCACATTGCCTGAAACTTAAAGATACAATTCTTCCATCTAATTGATCAAATTTTTGCGAACATGGAAATTAGATTAAGGGAGGTTTTGCTGCAGTCGTGATTTGCCTTGGTTTTTTTTTGGTATTTTCAGTATGGCAAGGTAACAGACCTTAAAGTGACATTCGATTCGCCGCTGTCTTTGTGGGGTGGTTCATCTGGGGTTCAGGACGGGAAGGCACATGCGGTCGCTGTGTGTTCGCTCTCTGATTGAACTAATTGACACATGTGAGGAGAAATTTACCAAAATATCGGTTTGGGATTTCGTAATTCGAGCCAGGGTTGGACCAGAGGTGGCATGCTCCCTGAACTTTCCCTCTCACCCTTGGCCTCTATCGCTGCCGCTCCATCTGCTTGTTGTAATACGATATGTCAACAATATCCAGAGGTCGCAGCAAACTTTAAAAGAAGCCGGGAAACCCATGGCGATGCGGTGCGGCGAAAGTAAAAGCAGCGAAGGTCAACATCATCAAAATGTCTGTCTGGGCTCGGGACAAACATCTGAGAAGCAGACTCTGGTCCAGCAGCACACACATGCTCCAAGGATCTGGCTTGTGTCCTGCTCCTGCTGCTCCCGGTATCGTCGTAGTGAAAATGATAATGTTAAAGTTTTACAACTTAAGTCGTCAAAGTCAAACACACTCTAGGGAAATTACAAACACATTCGAGACAAGAATGTGAAGCACAAAAGTCGTTGTTCGCCGAGGGGCAGGCGAATGGGGGGGCTAAGGGGAAAGGGGGAATGGTACTGGGAAGGTCAAGAGATGAGGGTGGCCCACAACTTTCCGTACCGAGTGGTGTGATGAAATATACGTACACTGCACGTCCTTCCAACTTTACCTGCACAAATCTTGAGCTCACTGCTCACTGCTCACTATCCTTGGTTGTTTGGTGCTTTTGGCTTTTACAGTGCTTCGGGGTGGAATTAGTGACAGACCCTTGCCCGCACCTCATCCCTGGCCCAGTTGCGCCATTAGCATAAATAAGCGTTTCTAAGTACGCCCCATAAAGGTGTAAATGCTCTGGTATTATTAGCCAAAGGCGAGCCCAGGGACCCAAAGACAAGAGCAGCTGAGGGGGAGATCGGCGAAACCGCTGGAAGCTCTTGAGTGACTTTTGCTAGCGCTAAAATTTTATAGCCGCCAACTCACATAAAATTTGCTCTCCAAGTATTTCATAAAATTTTGTTGCGCATCAAAATTGAGGGACCTGCAGCGAATCCCAGTTAGCTGGAGGACGTCGAAATGATGGGTTGGAAATGAAATTTTATTAAATGACTGTCAAGTTCTTGGCTACTTGGCTTAGCTGTGAAATTAGCAGGCGCTGGTGGCAGATCGACGGCCCTTCCTGATTTTGGCTGACTAAGCAAATGGGTCAAGTTAAAGATATGACGCTGGGGATGGCTCTGAGCGCCAGGCAAGAAGTGTAACAATGTTGCGGTAACTGGCTAACGGGAGTGGCGATGCAGTTCATATTTCAGCTCCAGGGTTAGCCAAACCTTTGGCCAGTTATCTTTGGAAAAGTTTTGCCTGCTTGGAATGTTTTTGGCACAAAAGTTTCCTCCTGCGGCCAAATGCCATTCCTTCTCAAGAGCAACCGAGTGCAAGGAACCTATCGAGCACCCGGCGACGGCCTCCTGCCGCTCATTAAAATGTCCCAAACGTTCTGTTTATGCACCGGGAAGCCCCCCCTCCCCCTTTACCTATTACGCACCCATTGCCACGGCAAGTGAACACTGGCTTTATTCGTTTCATGCCCACGTTTATTGTTTTCCCAGTCGTTTCCAGCATCTTATCAATTTGACTCAAAGGCACAGGCAGCGGCACAGGCTCGAGCAATAAAAGAGTAACCATTGTTTCCTGCGCCGTCCTCCTTCCGTTTGCCTCTGACGCTGATAATGAAGACAGCAACAACATTGTCTTCCTCTGGCAGGCCCAGAACGTGACTGCCTTATCAATGCGACTTATTGCCATGACGCAGCCGCCCTGCTCCTCAATGCCGTCCTGCGCCACGCCCCCCTTCAGATATCGCTGAAGCAATTAAAATTTGTAGCTATTGGTGGAGTTCGGTAGAGAATTCGATAGAGGCGCCATCGTTTGCAAATCATTTCGCAGTTGCTCAAGACTACTCCTCCCCTCCCCCCGCCACACAATTCCCCGGGGGCTTCCCCATCGCTCATTTTTCATACTGACAGCCCAATGGGCGTTAATTGCGTGGGTTTGAGTTTGGGTTTGGTTAGGGCTACGGCGTCAGATAAGCGCGCGTGATTTTTCTACGAATTTTGTGCCCAGAGGGCATCCAGCTCACGCCCCCTCCCCACAGCCACACCCACTCAGGGGGATGAAGCCAGGCCTTGTTATGTGGCGCGATTCACATTACTCCCCCAATCGGCGATTTAAATGAGGCTATCCTCTTCAGCCACGCATTCGGTGGCAGGCGGCGATAAGAAAAAGATGCCAGAGTTCTGAAGTCAAGGAATGGAGGATGAAATACCATTTTTGAATTGGCAAAACGTGCAGCAAATGGCTTAATTACGTCTGAAGAGATGAACTTTGACTCCAACTCTGCAACGAAGTGGGCAGGCATTTTGTTATGGTTCCTTGACTGGCCACAAGATGAGCCACATATCAAAAGACTCATGATATACTAAGGATATTACGAATTTCTGTTTATTAATAATTGGGTAAAGTTACAGTTTTAGGTATATGAAATTATAAACGAATAATTGATTCTAATGATGCCATTGATCTAGCTATAGGGTCAACTTGTACTTACTTTCCCAATCCTATGTTACTTTTGAAAGCATCTGCTCTCTGTGCGTCGAGGGGATGCATTTATCATATCAATATCTTTGTGGCTGCCACTGTAGGTGCTAACAAATGATTCCCTGCTCCGCACTCCGCACTCCGCACTCTCCCCTCCTGCCACATCCATTTAAATGCGCATATTTCACAGTCAACATGCCTTGACAACATGCCCTGCCGGCTTTCTTCTTGACCTGCTCTAAATATGTAAACAAATAGTTTTGGCAATTGCCAAGTGGGGCATGTCAGAACCAAGTTCCAGGCCGTTTGCAACCCCAGTTCCCCGTTCCCAGTTCCCAGTTCCCTGTTTCCTGTTCCCGCAGGTCGTCCCGTCGGTCGTCGGGCTGCATGTTGTGGCATGCGGTTGTGCAACGGCAACAACTTTTGCAACATGCACCAGACGACTGACTGCGTTCCCCTTCCCCTTCCCTTTCCCCGGCGAGTGCCACCTATGCGAGGATGGCAAAATAAACGAGGCCTTAAATCGAACTCTGTACACGGGTCGGGTCGAGCTGGGTCGGAGGCCGGGATCGTCTCGTTTGAGGTTAACGTAATTTAAGGCAGCAGGAGCCGGGTGCCAGGCCACTCGGACTGAGGAGCGGGTGGACCCCAGTGACTGCCCATTTAACATGCTGCCGACGTGCGTGGCTCCGTGTGTGAATGTGGCAATTTCGCAAATTATAAATTTTCCACCTGCGCAATGTGCCGGCTGCCTGTGCCCTTCCCCCCTCCCCCCTCGTCCCTCCATCGGGATGGCTGTTGGGGAAAGTTGTACGCGCACCGAACTGCTTCCTGCCCGCCGACAACAATCCGAGAATTGATCGCTGTTTCCGGCTTCTCTATTGCTTCGTTGTTGTTTGGGATATTAAGTCGACGACACCGAACACAAGTTGCATGCGTGTACAGTGCTCCCCCGAAACAGTGTACTTTTAGAGTGGAATGTGCTGAGTGTGTCGCCTTTTTATGCCTTTTGAGGGCATGCACCACCTGCAACCTTTTGAATTTGCCAGCAATGGTGTTGCAAAGTTAAACTGATATTA